GGAGATGCACACGCTTTCTCCGGCTGACCGGCTCTGCTGCTCCTTTCCTCCACCCTAGAACATCTGGGAGAAGCTCGCTAGCCCCAAACCAACACCTGCTTTTTTTCCAGCCGCTTGTGCTGGTCCCCAAAACCACCCCAGGCTCGGAGGTGCCTTGGTACGGGAGAACTGCGGGGAGCCTCTGCAGGGCAAGGGCTCTGGGTTGTGCCTGCAAAGGCAGCCCCACCACCACGGCTTGTTTTGCAATGGATCTGTCATCCCTGAGGGCTTTGACCCAGCAGACCCTTTTGCCGGGTGCAGGGTGTCTTTAGCTGAGCCATCAGCAACGTGGCCGGCACCTCTTCGTCCCACGGGGCTGCCTCGCAGGAGTGTACTCCTTGGCCGGCGGTGCTGGAGATTCGCTTCATTTCCAGCCACTTGGTCCTGAGGATGCTTTTCTGCTCCAGCTTCACCATCTATCCTAGGAGCAAGTTGTGCTTTGCACATATTCCTCCTCCCCTGATCTAATAGCCAGCCCTCCTGTGTCTTCTAGGAAAGCTATTGCCAAGTCCAGCCTCCAGCACATGGTAGCCCAGCCAAACCCTGTGCTAGCCCTGAGGAGCGACTCGGAGAGGCAGATACGCAGCGCTGTGGACTGGAGCGTAAGTTGTAGCCCGTTTTTCTGGGCGTTGCATGGGATGGGCTCCCGGCCAAGAAGCAGCAGGCTCTTCCCAGGCTGAGGCTTCCCAGGTGACTTTGACTTTGACACATTTATGGCCTCTGCCGTTGCCACCAGCTGGTACCAGCATCTGTGCTGCTGGCAGCACCGCTTGATGCTGCAAGGAGAGGCTGTGCAGGCACAGGTGGTTCCTGGGAGGGTGGCATAGCTATTTCGCTGCCAGCTTTTCTGCTCCTGGCAGCCAAGGTCTTCTGATGGCTGGGGCCAAGCAACAGGAGCAAGCCCCTGCTCCTTTGCAGGCAAAACCTGGCAGGTTTTAAGCTGCACCCTGAGGTCGTTGAACAGAATTTACTTCAGGAGAGTCCCCTGCACTGAATTTGCCCTGCTGCCTCCTCTCAGGGGGGTGATGGAGGCAGCTCCCCTGTGCAGGGCACCGCAACTGGGTTGTAGGGCTTGGCGTTGGTTTCCCGGGGCCCTCTCGTTTCCAACAGGTGAACGATGGGAGCAGCCTTATGAGGTTTCCTCCGTCCAGATGTTGGGCCTGGTTCTTCTGTGCCTCTTGTCTCCTGGCCTACACCTAGCTGCAACCTCCCAATCCCCAGTATCTTGTCCCTCACACAAAGCATTTTAGGGGCTCGGATGCCCGTCTCGGCGTGTTCTCAGAGAAACGTGTTGTCTTGTGCCTTTCAGGAGACTGCGGTCTATGGGGAGCACATCTGGTTTGAGTCCAATGTCTCTGGGGACTTCTGCTATGTCGGGGAGCAGAACTGTATGGCAAAGCTGCTGGTAAGTCACTTGGGGTCACCCACCGCCCTGGCAAGGGCCGTGGGCTGAGCTGCCAGCCGGCGGGGAGACCGCAAAGGCTGCTGCTGGGGGACATGTGGGGGTCTGGGGGGGCTACCAAGGCGAAGAATGTGTCCCTCCTACCTCTGCCTGCTGGAGGGCTGCGTCCCCAGTTTCAGCCAGTGCTGGTGTTCAGTTTGCGATGGGAACCTGACGCAGGGTTGCTGCTCGCCCGGAGGTGATATGGTAATATTCCAGGGAGAGGCTGTTGGGATCCCACAGCCTTAGAGGGACAATCTGAATCTAAGACCTTTCAATAGAGGAGAAAAGTGAGCGCTGGAGACCCAGGCCTGCGGGCAGCACTGGCCTTATGGGGTTGCTCCAGTCCTCCCTCCCGCCTTGCAGGCTCAACCCTGCTTGTGGTGCAGGAGATGGAGCACTGATGAGCACCATCCTGTGCCTGCCCATGGGACTTACCCTGGGGGATCTGCAGGTGCCTCCCAGACCAGCTTCCATGGTGCTCTCAGGCAGGGTCAGAAGCGGCCAAGGACTGCAGGACAGGGCAGCGGGAGAGCATCTTCTTGCTCTGTCCCAGGCTCGAGAGCCTCGGCTCTAGGCACACGCTTAGATCCCTTCACTTGCAAGGAGTCTAGGTTATGTCATAACTTTCCCGCAGGACTTGTTCTGCATCCTGAAATGCATGAAGGAGGGGTGATCGGGGGCTGAGCTTGCTGGCCTCTGAACACTGCTATTCACATACGTGTTTTTCCTCCCCCTTTCTCATCCTCCAGCAAAAACCTCTCTCCAGGCGTAAGTGTGCAGCCTGCAAAATCGTAGTGCATACGCCCTGCATCGAACAGCTGGAGAAAGTGAGTAGAGCCTGTTAAGCCCTCTCTGTGGCTTGCAAAGCTGTAACAGCCTTTTCCTGGGCAGCCCTTCCTCTTGGGCGGTGAAACAGAAGACGACTGGGGAACTGCAATGTGTCATTGCAAAGAGGGGTCTTCTGAGGAGACAATACCAAAAGGAGCATCTAGTGACATGATTGGGACCCCAGGCCCCGTTTTGTTCGCTAATGGAGATATGCGAGGGGTTTCACAGCAAGCACCGAATATCTCCAGAGGCTCTGGGCTTGCTGTAGTAAAGTAAACTCCAGTAGGTTTCCTTTGGGTATGATGGTTTCGCTGATTCCTCTCACCTGTGTTCAATCTACAGATAAATTTCCGCTGCAAACCTTCCTTCAGGGAGTCAGGATCCCGGAACGTACGGGAGGTGAGAGATGTGCCTCGGACGCTGCCCACATCTGCCCGTGCCCCTTCCCAGTTGGGTGGCAAAGACGTCAGATGCTGCCAGCCCGTTGCCCATCAGAGTGCAGACATCGTGCTGGCTCCTGGCTCCAAGGGGGTGGTGCGGTAAAAGGGATGTTTCTTTGCAAGGCAGCAGCACAGATGGGCCGCGAGGAGCGAGGAGCTCGCAGGCAGCAGATGCAGAGCCTTTGCTGGTTTGCATGTTCTAAAGCTTCTGCATCTGCACGGGAAGAACCTGGAAACTGTTTTCTGGGAGAGTTTTTTGCCCCTTGTGCTGGTCCCCAAGCACGTAGAGGAGGCTGTGGCAAACAGCAGGTCCCCAAGCCTCCCACAATTTGGAAGGATGCAGTAGGGGCTCACTTCTGCCTTTATCACTTATCCCTGACCTGGGTGGTGCGGGTACTCCAGGTAGCAGTGGAGGATGCCCACAGTGGTGCTAGCGGACCCCTCTAGCCCGTATTTTAATGTACTGGGTGTAAGGGGTGGCCTGGGACCTGTCTGCTGAGCTGTGCTGGTGGGAGCACCCGTCAGCCTTCATGTGTCACCCTCCAGCCTGTGGAGCCAGCGTAGGCCATGCGGTGCTCTGGAGTGGGTGTGGGTGGCTCGATCGTGGGCCGTTTTGGTAACACGGCTGGTGTCCCCACCTCGTGTTTGTGCTGGCACAGCAGATGCAGCAGAGGAAAGGTATTCAAACACAGGGCTGCCTGCTCAGAAATGCCTGTGTGACCTGCTAAGGTGAAGCTTTCAGCATCACTTTAAACCTTCCTTTCTTCCTTTACTTCTGCTGTCATGCCTCCTTCCCATATCGCTCTTAACCCAGGTCCCTTATTTGTCCTTCACTTACTTTTTGGCCTCTGCTGACACCTCTCTGCCTCTGTTCACTCTTCTGTCTCTATTTTCCTCCTCTCCAACCTCTGTAAATTTTCTCTCCCTCCCCTTTCCTGGTTTGCCTCCTTTTTCTCACAAACTGTGCTTCTCCATCCTGTCTTTCTAATACTCCTCCGTTCCTCCAAGGGCTCTTCCCTCCTGTTTCCCTAGAAAGGTGCTCCTCTGGCCTTTGTGCTGCCAGGGACCCCCTTGAGGGTCAGCCCTTTCCCTGGATGTGCCTGTTGGGACCCAGAGCTGAGCTCAGGGCATAGCTCCCGTTCTGCTCCCACTGGATTAACGTCGGCTAAAGCCAACGGGACTCTTCGTCCTTTCCCATGTGCTGCGCTCGGAGCAGGCAATGCTGGAGCCAACCCAGATCTCCTGCCAGTTTCTGCCTCCATCATCTTCATCATCCCAAAAGCTGTCAAGAGCAGGGTGTTGGGCCCCAGAGCGCTGGGCTGGGAACTCGCACTCCCTCTTCTCTCTTTGCAGCCCTCCCTGCAATCCCACTCCCAGCCCAGGGCTGGAAGAGGAAGGTGGGATTTAGGAAATGGGGTATTTCATTACAAAACTTCTGACCTCCTCACAATCACTCCTGCAAGTCCCAGCCCTCGCCCACCGTGGGAAGAAGGTGCCTGGGAAGCAGCCGTGCTCCCCTCCCCGTGGGCAGGCGGGCAGGGGGACTTGCCCTGGGGCAAAGAGCGGGGTGAAGGGGGTGTGGGGGGCTTTGGGAACATGGTAGCTAGGCGGTTCGCTGCTTAGCTGCAAGTGCTTCCATCTTCTTGCTGTGGGCACAAACTGTGTCTCCTTGGGGATTTTCACACCTTCCACCAGCACCTTTTTTCACCTGGCGCTGGGGACATCTGGACAGAGACGTTAAGGGTCGGAGATGTGATGGCAAAAGTAGTGCTCGGCGCTACTGCTTGCCCACTCTCTGTTGGGTTTGCTTTGTGTGATTCTCAGTCTTCAGTTTCCCTCCTGTCCTTTGTGTTTTTTTCTGATTTTATTTCCCTCTTCTCTAAGCACCTTAATTTGGCCTCTTGCCCCCTGATCCTTTGGCTTTGCCTTCTCCCAGAGGGTTGGGGCTGGTGCACGCGAGCAGTGGGCTTGCTGCAAGAGCAGAGGTCCTGGCTGGCCTGGGTCCATTCCTCCTGCTGTTCCTGCCTTCCCTCACACACTGGCCTTTCATTCCTTTTTTTTTTTTTCTTTTTTTTCCTTTTTTTCTTTTCCCTTTAGCCCATCGTTGTCCGGCATCACTGGGTACATCGGAGGCGGCAGGAAGGGAAATGCCGGCAGTGTGGCAAGGTGAGAGGGCATCTTAGGTTTTGGGGTTTTTTTCCTCACCCTGAAGGAAAGCTAAGGTCAAACCAGAGACATGAACAGGGCTGGGGACCAGGGACATCCCACCATTCCTGTTTGGCAGCAGCAGCCTACAGCAAACCCAAGACGCGTGCCCTGTTTTGCACTGCGAAGCACTACATAAGTGCTTCCCACGTAGAGTTGTTCTCCCCCTGGGCCCCATCAATCCTGGAGGGATCTGTCTTCTTGACGTGCTTTGCTTGAGCCGTAGGGACACCCATGCAGAGCACAGTGGCCTCCCTGGTGCCGTAGTGGTGGTTGGGGCTAGCTGACGGGGATCCCGAGGGCTCCAGCTTCAGGCACGCTCTCTTTGTTAATGTCTCTCTTGGTGGTGGGAAAGTCCTGTTGGATGGTAGAAAGCTGCAGGGGAATTCATAGAATCATAGAATCATTATTGTTGGAAGAGACCTCAAAGATCATCAAGTCCAACCATATACCCGATGCCACCATGTCCGCTAAACCCACTAAACCATGTCTTGAAGTTCTTGAAATTCCCTAAGCCTCTTATCCTTCCCTCCACAGGGTTTCCAGCAGAAGTTTGCCTTCCACAGTAAAGAGATTGTTGCCATCAGCTGTTCCTGGTGCAAGCAAGCGGTGAGCAAAGCCCCTGTTGAAGATCTTACCCACCTGTTCTGCACCTCATGGCCTCTGCTTTCTGCTGGGACTTCCCCAAGCTGCTTCTCTGCAGCTCCTTAACAGCTCCTCTTACTGGGAGAGGCTGTACTGTGGTAGCTGCGAGCTCCTACGAGAAACTTTCTCCTCATTGCCTTCCCATTATGCAATTCCTGCATGGTTTCCTCCAGCGCTCCCTGCACCTGGCATGAGGGAGCTGGGAGGAGGAGGAGGTGGCGGCTGTCGCCAGCAAACTGAACAGCGGAGGTTTTCCTCTCTGTCTTCTCCTTCCCCAGTATCACAGCAAAGTGTCCTGCTTCATGCTGCAACACATCGAAGAGCCCTGCTCGCTGGGGGCTCACGCTGCTGTCGTCATTCCTCCCACCTGGATTCTGCGGGTCCGGCGGCCCCAGGTAGGTCACCTCAGCTCTTGGGGCTCTTTCATGACTCCTGCTTGCCCAGCAGCTCCTCACCGAGTTTTGGGGTTTGTTTCTTTTCTCTCTAGAATCCACTGAAATCTAGTAAGAAGAAGAAGAGGACATCGTTCAAGCGGAAATCCAGCAAAAAGGGGGCTGAGGTAAGAGATGAGGGGACAGGGAATGACCTTGTCTTGGAAGGGTCTCCGGGACTGTGTGGTGAGGAGCAGGACTGGGAAACAAGGGGGCTTTGCTGGGTCTGAGGTTAAGGAGGTTGGGGTGGAGGGAAGGTGCCTGCTGGCAGGGCAAATCCCAGCTGTAAGGCTGATGGGGTGGCTGGGACGTTGTCTTCCTCCCACTCCTGACCTGCGTGATGTTAGGGCTCAGCTGGAGGTGGGAGTTTGCATTTCCCTGGGTTTTGTTGAAGGACCTGCGGTGTCTCTTGCAGGAAGGGAGATGGAAACCCTTTGTCATCAAGCCCATGCCAGCTCCTCTCATGAAGCCCTTGCTGGTGTTTGTGAACCCCAAGAGCGGTGGGAATCAGGTATGGCCTTTTCCTACATCCCCCTGAGAAGGCAGCTCTCTGAGGGCATTGCCATTTGGCTGCTGAGGTCTCATCATAGTTTTGGTGATGTCTCAGCAACAGAAGAGCCCAGGCAACCCCCGCAACGACAGCTTGCTGCCCGGCAATTCCCACCTAGGCCAGGCTTTGCCTGAGTTCCCCCAGAACGACATTGTCTTGGCCTGTCCCCAGGACCAGATGCCACCTTCTGTCGTACACTGGGAACTCCCTGTTACCTGAAGTCTTTCTTCTCCCCATAGGGAGCCAAGATCATCCAATCCTTCATGTGGTATCTCAACCCACGGCAAGTTTTCGATCTCAGCCAGGGTGGACCCAAGGAGGCGTGAGTACTGATGGGGGCAGCACCCTTCTCTCCCCCATCCCTGCCCCACAGATTCCTCCCCAAAGCTCTTCCCGCGGCTGGCAGAGGACTGATGCTCCATAGCTTCCTTGTGTGAAGAGATCTTCAACGAGTTCATGCTCTGAGAGGCCTCTCTGGGGTACCTTGTGGTCAGTCAGTGTTCCCTGCCGGAGGGCTGGTCTAATCTTAAGGCTAGTGGCGAAGAGACCAGCTGTGGGGTGAGGTTCCCAGACCTAGTTCATTATGTGTAATTAACGTTGCGTGAATCTTGTTTATCTGTGTGTACGGAGACTGTGGACACG